AGCAAGTGTCACATTCTCACTCACAATTCATAAAATTATTCGTACCTAAAACCCTTTAGACCCTTAATTCATCCTTTGGCCAGCAAGGAAAAAACAAAAAAAAGACCCATGATTCAGTCATTTTATTATTGAACCAAAATCTTGTGCGTGTGTTTTTTTATACGTGACTTAGCTATTGCATAGATTTACATCTTTGAAGTTCTCTTTTAAAAAGGATGCCAACTTGACTAAAAATTTGTCACAAATGAAAGCTAACGATTTGGGCTATAGATGCCAATTTTAGTATTAAAAGAAAAAAGATACAAAAATCTACTATGGAACAATGACATATCGAGCTCCAAAAAGTTTTGAGATATGAATAGCTGAATAAAATAATGAATAAGTGCTTTCATCCTCAATCACTCAACCCGCAAATTAGTTTGTAGACCACTTATGATGAGAACATATAAGTCATCTGGCATCCTCTTTTGTAGGAGACTTTCTCTCCCCAAAAACCCCAAAACTTCAAAGCAATGAATGCCACCGAATGACCGACTGCCCTTTCCAGGGTTTCCGTGGTCTTCCACTTGCCTTTTGTTGATCCCTGAATGTTTCCACATTGTTTTGTCTTTTCTAAAACTTGGCCATTTCTTTATTTAAATTTTGCACCAATATGGTCATTTGCATTTGACTTGTTCACTTAAATGACCCAATACAATTCAGCTAAATTATAAAATCTCCCTTCATTCTAAATTTTCTTATTCTATACATGTCATCATGTTGGGACTTTTTTTATCGAGTTAGTGGTAAATTAGGATAGATTGAGAGAAATTCAAAAAGACACAAATTTTATTAGGTTCAAAAGTTAGCACTAAGGGTGAACAATAATCACATCCATTGTCAACCAAATGAATTACAAAATTATATACGTCTAACAAATTTCAAAGTGCCCCCAGAGAAGTGTTTGAATGGATAAAAATTAAAAACTTAAGAATTTATGGTTTCCATGCATCTTGGAATATTTCATCGAGCTTGCCCCTCTTAAAACTTGCTCAATTTAATAAATTCTACTCTTAAAAGTTAAACACGTGTTTTTAGCTTATGTTTAGCTCCCAAAATTTTTTATCTAAATCTAATGATCTAAATAATGTCATTTATTTTTATAGTTTTTTCAAATCCAATAAGATAAGTAATTATAAATTTTCCTATACTTTAATTGTTAGCATTGAATCAAATAGTAAAGAGTGATGAGAATTATATTGAAAATACAAATATAGATTCAAATTCTTTCATTGTTATTCGGATATAAATAATTTCAAAGGGTTATATATTTATCACCCTTGAAGTTGGAATTTTACCCAATGTTTATAGATAAGGCAATTTTATAAGTTCTTGTGGAATTAATCATGAAAAAAATCTAAATGACCATGATATCTAAAAAAAAAAAAAAAAACTTTTCTTACCCTGAGTCCTAGTTCATTCTCAAAATTCAAGGTAAAGAACACAACAATGCAAAGTGGCTTACAAAGTAAAGCCACACCAACAAAATTATTTAGCTCCTGCATCTTTTTCAGTTGAGTTGTTGAGATGAAAGAATCCCCAAGGCTTGATGATAGAATAATGAAAGATGAACCCCACAGATTATAGTTGTTCGCTCGCTTTGCACTTTAGTCCAAGAGCTGTCAAATTCAAGGGACCCAATTTTCTTTTTAAAAAAAGAGAAAGTAAACAAAAGAAGCCCGATGGATGGCCTTGTTCATTGACCAATGCCTTTTCGTTGCTTGCTTCCTCTCCAAATCCCCAATCAAAATCTTTAGGATTCTTTTTAGGTTTCTATATGGGCCCCAAAGTATAAAATTGTTTCTGGTTTTTCTTTTTTCTTTTTTCTTTTTAACTTATTAGGAGATTGCTACTTGCTAGTAATATGAACCTTCGTTTAATTTAATGCCTTACCTATACCAAATTTCTATTATAAAATACCTATCTTTCCGTGTATGATTGTGGACCATTTTCACTAAATAAACATCTAAAATGTGGACCATTTTCACTAAATAAACATCTAAAATGCAACCACTGAAATAGTGGTTTCGGGTCCATTTCTTTTGTCTTTTCTTTTGGGATAATCCCCTACTTGCTTTTTCTCTCCTAAACTTACCCTCAAACTTCTAGATTTAGGGCTATTTTAGCACATGTATAATATGTTATTGCCATTTAAGGCCAAAGTTAACAAAGAAATTTACGTGTTCGGTTAATGACTTCCCCAATCAACATTTTCATCATAAAACAAAGTTGGTCCGCCAAATCCAAGCAAAAAAAAAAAAAAGAAAAGAAAAAAAAGCATGCTATTACTCATGTATTTTCTTTAAAACTTAAATAAATAACTCAACTTCCTTTTCTGTCTAGATTTTTTTGCTAAGTTTTCACATAGAAAAAGATAGTTAAGATAAGTTATTATTTGTGTCATCATCATAGTTGCATTATTTTCATTGATCATTAGCTTAGTTCTTCATAAAATGCTCCGCGGGCTTAAAGAGGCCATAGGACATAAATAGTACTAAACTAAGTTTGAGGAAAAATTGAAAGAAAACACTAAAGAGTAGGGGGCAACTTAACTTTTCCTTCTCCCTTCTGTATTTGTATATTTCTTTCACTAACTATTCTATTTGTATACCAATGGTTGGATACAAAGGAAGCTCAAAAGAAGAATCCCACCGACTATTATCCTTCTCCCCTCAACTTTCCCCCCTTTTAATTCCCTCCATTTCACCCCAAAAAGAGGAAGAAGAAAGAAGACATAAAACAAGGAGACTTCTCTGGCATACAGAAGGCAAATTGTTCATAAAATGGGAAATTGCCTGTTTGGAGGCATGGGAGATGCAGAGGGAGTCATAAAGGTAATTACGTCGAACGGTGGCGTAATGGAGTTTTCGGCGCCTATGACTGCCGGAATCATCACCGAGGAGTTCCCCGGCCACGCGATATTCCGAACACATGATCTCTTTTGGAAGCCTCTGTATCACCAAGACGAGCTCCTCCCAGGGAAATCATACTATCTACTTCCACTCAACAACCCAGCTGTAGACACGACAGCCACGGCCGATATCAGCGGCCAAGTCGTCCGGCAAGGGCATGTGAGGTCGAACAGCATACCCACGTCGATTGCACCTTATAGGATGTCGTTCGATTATCAGGGGATGCTGAAGAGGTCATACACCGATGTTTTCTCGAGGTACAACAAAGGCGGCGGATTTTGGAAAGTGAAATTGGTTATTAGCCCGGAACAATTGGTGGAGATACTCTCGCAAGAAGCACGGACGGAGGAGTTGATCGAGAGCGTGAGAACTGTGGCGAAATGCGGAAACGGAACGTCGTCGACGGTGGCGTTTTCCGATCAGTGGAGCCTTTCGAGTAGTCGGAATGCCTCCTCTTACTCCAAGAAGGATGATTTGCTATTAGAGATGTAGATTAATGGAAGAATCATGTACTTTACCAAGAACAAGATGTAATAGTAATTTCATTACAAAACCTATAAACGAGCCTTTGAATCTGTTATTTTTATGTACTGATTGGATATTGTCCTAATTACCTCTGTTTCAAGTCCCTGTTTATTGTTTAGGTTTGGGTTTTCAACAACTGAATTAAATCAATCACATGGAATTCGTCTCCTTCGTTACAGCCTCTCAAAACCATTTTTTATAAAAAAAAAAAATTATTTTATGTTTTTTTAGTATATTAGAGGTTAACCACATTATTAGTATTGGAAAGGTTTGAAATATATATTAAACTGTTGAAAATAATTTAATATTATTAACATAATTTTAAATAAATAATATCTCTTTTAAGTTGATATACCAAATTTTTATTAATCTTTACCTTAAAAAGTTATTTCCCTCATTCTTTAACTCAACTCGTTGATATATTATATAACTTAAAATCAAAATCTAAAATCTCTTAGTCACTAAGACTTTGTCTTGTGTAGTTTTTGTTTTAAGCTTTTTATTTTGATTTTTATAAATTTTGTAACTCAAAACAAAAAGTAATTTACTTGTATGTATTTTTTTAATATATTATTATAATTATTAAAAAAAAATAAAAATAATTTTAACATTATTAGATAAGTTTAGATTTTTTATTATCACTATTAAAATTTATTTCAAATAAATTTTTAAATTTAATTTTAACAAGTATAAAATTTATAAAAATTAAAACTTAAAATTACAATTATATTAAATAAAACTTAAATTCCTTAAATAGTTTTGCCCTCTCAAGACTTTTGGTAGTGCTATAGGGTTCTCTTTGTTAGGCTTAAAGAAAGTTATTCCATTAAAAGCCATCCTACATCTATTTACTAGGGATGATATTGTCAAATTTGTCATATCCAAAAATTGTTTATGTCACATAAATATAATTTTTATCGTTTTACAATGAAAAAGTAAACTCATTAAGTAAAGAGATTCTACATCCGTCCTCCTCCTTCTACTTCCTCTTTTTTTCCATATTTTCATCCTCAAATCCGTCTAACTTTAATATCCATGATTTTAGGTGCTAATAATCTACATTGGAAATTTATCAACATGCTCAATTTTTTGAGAAGAGAAGTTTTTAACACCCTTCATTGACCATACATAAAAATGTACGTACTTGTACCACTACCATAACAAATTTGTGAATGATGAAGGCCAAGTGATCATGTGCCAATATTAAAAGCAGACCTTCCAGAACTAACCACTGAGGTCCTCTAGGTTTCCAGACAATCAATTCCTCGAGTTACCTAGTATAGCTTGCCATCTAGTTCTCTTCAAATCTGTATGTACCAGACTAGAAGGTAGGATGGTGCTTGATGATAGGGTTGGGCATTCAAATTGGACTATGTGATCCGAACTAACTTTTTTATTGTTAGAAAAAATTTAAGACAAAGCTTCCATACTAAATTCAATTTTCATATTTAATTTGATTATAATTTTAAATAATTAACATCTACAACTTTAACTATCTTGGTTAAGGTGTAATGAATTCTTAGCGAATGTTAGGGTTCGATTTACTGCAAAGCAGCTAATTAAAATTAATTAAATAATTTAGTTAATTAACTAAAATAACTAAAATTTTTATGTATTAATATTAATGTATCATTATTTTTCATTGTTAGTTATTAAAACTTATTTGTTGAAATTTTAATTATTTTTAATTACTTTAAAGATTCTTGTCTATAAATTTGATCCAAAAAATGAATTTTATCCAAAAAGAATATATAATTATTTAATATTAAAAAAATTTTAGATAATTTAATCACTCATATTAGTAATTTTAAATATAGATAAATAACTATATTTAAACTAAAATAATTTCAATCACTTTAATTTTATTTAAATTTATCCAAATATCTAAATTATTTAAACCTAGATCCTTAAATTTTAGTAAAAAATTTAGATATTTTAATCAAATCTAAAATGTGTCCCCACTACTTGACAATAATGAGGATTATTTTTTTTTTGTTTAACTCATAATATTTAGAAATTACATTATACTCTAATTAATTTAAAGTCAAAACAGATCAAATTCTATTGCATGCCTCACTGAGTATTGTGGAGGTAAAAGCTAGGGAGGAATAGTCTGAAAGATGGAATTAACATGTAGTGGCTGGGTTTTGTGTTGTTTTGTGTTAATGCAATGGGGGTTTAATTTTCGTCACGGGTTTTGTGTCGACACTTTGAGAGGGTGTCGACACTTTAAAAGTATGCTTCTCAATCATTTTTGTTAAGGGTTTGGGATACCTCTTGTACTCCGTTTTATTAATATATATATATTTTACTGTTTTAAAAAAGAAAACAGATCAAATTCTATACGGGAGAAGCTCTCTTACAATGGGGGTTTAATTTTCGTCACGGGTTTTGTGTCGACACTTTGAGAGGGTGTCGACACTTTAAAAGTATGCTTCTCAATCATTTTTGTTAAGG